AAGGCTCTCACTTCTTTTATATCTCACTTTTCCCAACTTACAAATAATCAACTACTAACTATTAAATTATTGGAGTTCTCTCAAGTATAATAAAAACACATAATAGTTTCAATTCCTTAATGGTGATATAATTTCAAAACAACTGAAAACAGAGATCAAAGGTGAGGGAAGAGTAACTGTTAAAGGTAGGAGGATAAAATGACTACGGCTCTTTTATCCTTACACCATAGTTAGCTTGGCTAAAGGGAAGCACACGTAAATGAGCACACATACAAATTTGACTCATTTGAACCTTACCTGCTGAATTCGAGTTTATTATTAACTGGTCTAAGTTCAGCAATGACTTGCGCATATAATGGTTTATCTAGGTTCAGAAGAGCCTGCTTAATTAAAGCAAGATAAGAACCATTCTGCAGCTGAAAACTGCAAAAACAACTGCACTGCTTATGTACTAATCACACCATTCCATTCATTATGCCATTAACTGAGGTTTTCCTATTTGGGGAAGTAAAGATTAATGTCATCCTTTCTTGCATAAGTCAAAGAATACATTTTTACCGAAACTTCATTCCTGAATCTCTAGCAGACCGAGCAGAACAGTGGAATTCTGTAGCGCCCGAACCCTCAAGGATCCTTTGTAGATTTCTGTCTGTTATACCACCCCCTGTTGGAAAAAAATAAGTAATACACTAAGTAGAATAGAATCTGGCATAAAATTTAATGAATAATAATGACTGCTTGCTCTACCTCGAATCCCCATACTGAAATTTCTCATTAATTCAAGAATTATTCTCTCCCTAATAAGCTAGAATGAGACTAGAAAAGAATGATAAAACGTAATTACAGATCCTGGAGAACAACTGATAAAGGTCATAGAACCTATGACGGAATTTTCTATGTCCACTGGTTTATATAACAATGTTATATATTATGGACTTTAAATCTAAAAAGATTCCTCTAGGGCAAGGAAAATCGAGTCCTTTATCACTGACTTCCCTTCAATTAAAGAAAAATCAAATTAAAACAAAAGCAAGATAGGCTTGAGGACAAAGCTCCAATGCACAGCCTCAGAGATGTGTATGAAAGCATCTCCAATTCTCTCTCTGGCACAGCATTCAAAGGCCATACTGACGTCAATGGAAATGGGAATAATGCAAGGTGTTATACAGTTTATTCATTATAATATCAATTTTTTTAAAATTTCATTTCACTGAAGAATCTGAATATACTTTACTAAAACTGCACAATCAAGTACTTTATGATGGCTCATTTGTTTTGATGAACAATCTCTTAAATATTTATAAAGAATCATATTCTTAACTGATACTAGATTATAAATATAAAATCAGTTTATTCATCTTTATATCCTCTCCTAATATGTAGGTGTATTCAAGAAATATTTTTTAATGACTGATAAAATATGTACTTTGTATCTCAAGCTATTCAAGTTGCTGAAGTAACTTGATTTTACACATTCTTTTGGACTCATTAACTTGGTTATTTTTTCTTTTCTTAGTGGTACAGTAACATTACTGAGTCCTAAGAAATAGAATTAGACCGAGAAGTCAGATTTAGATTGCAATTCTGGCTTCACCACTGTAGTTCTTCACAGCTATGGATCTTAGATAAAATTACTCAAATTTTTTTCACCAATAAAAGAGGGATAACTGCCTAACTCACGAGCTTGTTGTTAAGAATTAAAAGACAAATATGTTGTTTCCTTCTAAAAAATAACAATACCTAGCCA